AGAAGCTGAAAAATCCTTGACTTTAGACTAAACATTACTTAGCAACAACTGAAGACATCAGCATTATCAACATTCTTCTCATACCTATCTCAAAAACATAGCACTGTACCAGCTACTAGGAAGACAATTAACTCTATCCCAGCTGAAACCAGGACAATAGGTTTGAAACTTCTACCACAACCTCCCAAGAAAGAAATGTATCTTCAGTATATGTAGATTGGCAGTTGCAAAAATTATTTGAACCTCTTTTGCTAAATTTAAAAAAGACGGGATCACTTCAGTCTGCCCTCAGATCATAAGCCTCCAGGTAAGGCTAATTCCATGTAAATAAAGCCTTCATTTTTTATGTAGCCAGAGTCAAAGCATTCGTTTTAGGGGAACTTCAAAGTCACAAAATTATGGTCTGGAATAGAAAGGCTAAAAAAAATTAGTAGTAATAATTGACATCTAGTAGGTAAAAAACAAATCTATCACATTGGGATTAATGAGAGCTAGTTAAGGATCTAGCAACTCTAAAACCTGTAGCACATCAAAGATGCACAGTCTTAGTTAAACCAATCAAAATGCAAAATGGTTTAAAATTCCTGTGCATCTGTAAGAATAATACTTGCTATAATTGTGTTTTCTGTCTTTCTGTTAAATTACTTCCACTTTAAAGTGATGATAATATTATTTCCAAACAATAACAGTGATGCAAAATAATAGGAATGTACTTCAAATGAAAATAGGTAGACGTACAGCAAGTATATGATCTGTTTCAATTGAAAGTTTTTAGTACTTTACAATGTAAATTTCCAGAAGTATACAGTAGATTAACAAGAAAAAAGAAGCTATCAGGTTTTTAAAAAGAAAACTAGTTAGCATATATTACATTATCTGTCAAATCTTCCCAGCCCTCATGTCCTAATAAATTTTGAAGCTCTTCAACATTTTGCAGTGTTGAAGATTTCAAAGGCATTACACTGATATGAATATGGGCAGAAGCAGTGGCCAGAGAGCAGAGAGATCCTGTTGACTCTCCTATAGGGAAAAAGTAGGGAGAAGTGAGCCCTTATGGTTGTATTTGACATCAAGCAGCTACTGAATTTGCCTGCTTGGTGCTCCAGTCGAGCTGCCCACTCTTGTGCTGTTTATTGCTTGGCTGTCTGGTGTCAAACAACCTAGAAAAGGATTGACAGAGGAATCCAGGATTACGTGGTAGGAGGGCATAGGAATCTATACCTGCATATTAAAACTCAAAGAATGATGATCCTGGAGAAAAGAAGCTGAATTTTGATACCATTGTTTCAAGCTTGAATTTTCATTTTGGATTTTCTGTAGAGTATATTTATTTCAAAATAATCAGTATTTCAATTTAAATATATTTTCATTTATAGTATAAATCATGACTATATGGTGCAAAACTTAAAAGATCATGTCAGTTTCAAGTAGTTAACTTAGAATATTTTTTCCGTTGGCCATAAATCTTGAGGCAAATGCTTTTATATACAGTTGTACTGTAATTTCTTTATGTAATTAGTTTAAAGGTTAGGTCAAGTTAGGTTAATTTAGACAATAATTTTATGCAATTTCCAGATACAGCATTAATATGAACTGAAATGTCTTCATTTATATGAAAGTCAGTCTAGTGTTTGTGAACGTTAACAGCAAGAATTGTGAGAGGCTAAAATTTCTATTTATCTATCATCTTGGTCTTCAGTACAAAAATCACTATGATGTGGATTCCTAAGGCCTACAATTGGGAATACTATACAGAATGAGGTGTATATATGATGCAAGAGAAATTATTAGATGTATTTGAAGTAGAGAATTCTGGATTAAGAATCCTGAGGGTTTTTTCATGATTGTTCTGATACACTGTATGCTTGGGGTATGGTTCTTCAGCAACACCTATTAATCTCGAGTCTTCAGAGGGAGAGGAAAAAGTTATGTGAGTTTTACAGATATAAAATACACATATCTGTGAATTGCATTATTTTTTGAAGAAAGATGTCTTGCAGAAGATCATTATTGCAAAATTATTAGTATGGTTTGTCAACAAGCTCAGGAAGAGCGTTGCTATCCTTTCAGTCTTTGAAGGACATGAAATGAATGGGACCACTTGTGTGCTTAATGTGAAAGAGCTGGTTTTGTACCTGGCTGAACTGGGATCTAAAACAGTGCCCATCTGTTTTAGTCAATGAAAATTCTGTAAGGTCCAGTTGTTGTGTCAGTCCAGCTTCAGAGACTGAAAGCAGGAGATTCTGCAGGGCACAGACTTATTAGGTGGGAATCAACAGATGCACTGTACCTTCCGGTATAGTATTCGCTGTCTTGTACCATACCACATTGATACCCATCTCCATCAGTCAGGTTTGTACTGCATCCATACCAAAGTATTAGTACTTAAGCTGTGCGAAGTGGTGCTATATCCAGGACTACAAACTTCAGGCTTGATTTCATAAGAAGGCAATATTAAATGGAAACTCAAAGAGGGTATTACCCCCTTTATATGATATTTTGCAAGACCAGTACTGGAATACTAGTTATAGGCTACCCACATTTTAAGGAGGATGAGATTTCATTAAAAAAAAATAGAAATATGGCTAATAGACAAGCTCAAAGTTAAGCTGTCACTTGATCATGGAATATTGGTCGTGTTGACAGAGGAACAATTTTTATCATAGTAGGCAACTCTTCAATCTGTTTGATAGAACAGAAACCAGAAATCTCTGGAAACTGAGATTACAAGCAGAGTGTAAATTTTAACAATGTAATCAACTATGGAAAAACATACCTATAGAGGTGTTAGATTCTCTGTTACAGTCAGTCTTTAAATCAAGGCTGAATGCCTTTAAGAGATTTCAGTGTAACTCGGATACTGTGGACTTGATGCAGAAGTTGCTGGTGAGAGTCAGAGGAGGTCAGACCATGTGGCAATTGTCTCTTCTGATCTTAAATCCTCCAAGTTGGAGGCACAGAATTCTCTTAATACAAGGCTGTTTCTCCATGTATCAAGAAAGGTTCAGCTAGTCCAGAAAAAAGTTCTGAAAGGCTGTTGTTCAAATGTGATCTGGTTGTATTTAAGCAAAAAACAATTTGGGCAATCACGTACTATCTAGACATAGTAATCTGGATGTGGCCCTATTGTATTGCACACTTAGTACATGCAGTAAAGTACAGCCCTGGGTATTAAGAATTGTTCAGTAGAAATTGAAAGGAATTTTAAGCAATCATTGAGATTTTTTGATACAGTTCCAGAATGAATTAAGAAACTGTTTTTAATGACCATAGGGACTTAGTCATCTCTGAGGGAGGGAAAAAACAGTAGCCTGAAAAATAAACATGATAAGATTGGTAGATTCTTTTTAATGAAAAGACTCAGAATGAGAAAATTAATCAATAAATGTGATGACCATATGTTTAACCTTTAGGTTTGGTTTGTGTTCACATTCCAAACTAATATAGTTAGAGACACTTAAACATTTGTGTGCTGAACATATGTTTACAGAGTAATTATATTTAACATCAGGAAGTTCACAAAATACTTTCCATATTCCTGTGTTGTGTACCCTTTTGTATTAGTGTTTTCTAAATGTCATGTTGAATAGTATATTAAATCCCAGCTTCTTCCTAAGGTACCTGAGGTGGCTGCTTTAGAAGATACTTTTCTCAGCTGTAATAACTTCCTGCATTTAAATATATTGTTAGTATTTCCATATATCCTGTTACCTTGCATTTTACAGTAGGCCAACAGATTACTTTATTAATAAACTGCATGATTAAGCAAGTTTTTTACTGTAGGTATACTTGTGCATTTCAAATTGTCAGTTTGTTGCCACTGAGATTTCCCCTCTGTACAGAATTACCTTTGTTCAAAACATATTGTGCAAGTCAGTGATTAACAAGAGATTGGCTAATGTAGTTCATTACATTATGCAATTTTGATATTGCACCTCTTTTCACCGGGGGGGGGGGGGGAGAAGGTCTTAAAACCCGCTTGTTCATCTGAAGTCTCCATAGGGCCTCAGTTCTCAGAGCCCTTTCACCTGGGCAGGCTTTTGCAGGACTGGGCAAAGGAATGGTACTGATCATAGTGAGCTATGGCCTTGGCTGATAACTCCAGGTCTGCTGAAAATAACTATATTGCAGTAAAAGTCCCATGGCATTTGGCGAGGTCCCAGGGTCTGTCTCTGCAGGTAGCCTGCCTGGCTTGGCCTGGGGAACAGGGAGCACCAGTGAGTGCTTTGCTCTTCACAGCTCCCCAGCCCTTGGGGAAGGCCCTGACTTCGGGCCCCTGCCCTGCAGAAGAGATGTGGTATCCTGCATTTCCTCCCTTTGGTTTAGGGCTGCCTGGAGCACTGTGAAGAGCACCTGCACTAACCTGTGCTTGAAGAAACAGGGTCCTGAAACCTTTGGCCATAAGCACAGGTGCAGGAGAGCAGATTTTTGTGAAAACAAACAAAAAATGGATTTCACTTAGTAACCATCCCCTTTAACAAATGATAAATTCGTTATCCGCTCCCTCTCCTACGTCAGACTCTATAGCACTTTTTCTTTTACAGATAAATTAAAGCCTGCATAAATTGTAAGTGTCAGCCTGACACCTGGTGGTTGAGGCAGCCACAGCGGCACTCAGGGGAACCTCCTCGGCCGAGACCCGCAGCGGGCTCTGTCTTTTAGAAAGAGGAAAAAACAAACAAACAAACAAAACCCCCCAAAACCAAAACCGAGAGAGAAAGATTAAAAGTGAGCGAGCTAGAAGTTACTTTACTGTACAAGGCCCGGGGGGCCTGTGAGGCCAGGCCGAGGAGGCCCCCCCTCCGAGGGGGCGGCGGCGTGTCACCCCCGGCGAAGGCCAGGCCGGGGTAGCGCCCTTGGCTGCCTTTCCCGTCGCTGCCCCGCGGCCTGGCAGGAGCCAGGTGCGGGGTGCAGCGCGGAGTGTCCCTTCTGGGCGCCCGTAGCGGGGCGGAGGCGAGCCGCGCGCCGAGGCCGCCCGGTGGCGTCGGTGTGTGGGCGGCGCGCCGGCGGAGCGAGCGGGCGGCCATGGCGGCGGGCAGCGCTATCCAGATCCCCAGCCGCCTCCCGCTGCTGCTCACCCATGAGGGCGTGCTGCTGCCCGGCTCGACCATGCGGACGAGCGTGGACTCGCCGCGCAACATGCAGCTGGTGCGCAGCCGGCTCCTGAAGGGCACCTCGCTGAGGAGCACCATCATCGGCGTCATCCCCAACACCAGCGACCCCACCTCTGACTGCGACGACCTGCCCTCCCTGCACAGGTGCGGCCCGGCCCGGCCCGGCTCTCTCTCCCTGGCGGCCTCGGACGCCGCGCCCTCGCGCGCTCGTTCCGAGCTGCCGCCGTACGGCAGCGCGCTGAACTTGACCCTGCCTCCCCGCCCGGGGGACGGTGCTGCCCCGAGGCGAGCTCGCCATGTTGTCATCTCCGCGGGGGCGTTGGGCTCGCGGGGGTGGGCCGGGCCGCGGGGGCGAGTCTTTTCTGCCCCGCCGCCGTCTGGGAAAGGCTGCTCGGTTCGGAGAAGGTTCTCTCGCTGCGCCGGACGAGCGGCCGTGGCGGGGGCGCGTGGTGTCGGGGACCGTCTGACTGACGTCTGGAAGAAAAGCCTGAAAAAGGAGACCGGGGTGGAAGAGGAAAATGCGATCAAAGAACGCAGGCCAGGAGCATTAAGGCTGTCGCAGTTGTTAACAACATTTTTCACCCACTAAGTAGCATGGATAGTGACCTAGTTCATGTAAAATGAAAACGAATTGTATTTCTGTGGGATAAAGCATAAGTAAAACTAACATGCTGCAACCCTTGCTCTCAAAACTTTATCACGTCAGTGGACTGAGTAAGGTTTTGCAAGAAAATAACTTCTGTTTGATATCCGCTTAAACAGGTACACGTGATCCAAAATGTTTGTTCAGAGTGAGACTGACAGTTTCACTGAAGAACTGTAAATTACAAACGCTCAATTTTCCAATGTGTCCAGATTAAGCTGAAATGTCAGGGTTCCTGTCCCCAGTGAAATCCATGAAATTATTTATGAAAAAATTACATATGTTTCTAAATCAGGTGACTTACGTTATCTTAGTTTTTCAGCTCATTCATTTTCAGGTTTTACAGTTTGGTTTTGCAATCTGCGTTACAAAGAAAATTGTATAATTTGGTTGCCTTTCATGGTAACGAACTATGACCCAGAAGGTTCTTGCAACCTATAGCTTGATTGCTTCTTGATAAGGGAGGGGCATGCAAAATGTTCTGTGGAAGGTGACAAATAATATGAAGATTTGATCTGTTTTTAGGATTGGCACTGCTGCCTTGGCAGTTCAGGTGGTTGGTAGCAACTGGCCCAAGCCACATTATACATTGCTGGTTACGGGCCTCTGCCGATTCCAGATCCTACAGCTGCTGAAAGAGAAGCCGTATCCTGTTGCTGAAGTTGAACAGTTAGATCGACTTGAGCAGTTTACTAATCAGCACAAGTCTGAGGAGCAACTTGGAGAATTGTCAGAACAATTCTACAAGTATGCAGTGCAGGTAAATTGTTTTAATTTCTATGTATCATATATCAATGTATTTATGCATATATTTGGGGGTTTTGGTTTCCTATCTGCCCTTCTCTTTCTGTAGTTCTTATATTTTTCAGTGACTGGTAGAGTTTCAGTACTTCTGCTACAAAATATTTTTGTTATAGCTTAAAGTTTCTGTGTGGAGTTCCAGGGTGTCTATACAGCTCATTGTAGGATGAGTCTAACTGCGTATGTTAGTGCTATGATAAGTTGGTATTATTTCATATGTAGCAATACTATAAATGCACTCTAGTAAAAGGAGTACTTCTGATTAATTTTTTCTAGGATTTTATATATATACACACAATGGGTTGGGGTTTTGTGAGGGTTCGTTTTTTTAAAATTTTTGAAGGGGGAAAAAAACCCCTCTAGAGCCTTGATTATAAAACAGATGTCCCCAGGTATAATGAATTTGAGTTTAAAGGATGTACAGAAAAAGAGTCATCATAGTGTTAAGATAACTGAGAAAGTTTTTAATCAGGGTGTGTGGGGGGAAGTAAGAGGTTTAGGCATTGAAAAAAGTGCTGCAAACAATGATGGTAATTTTTAACTTCTCAAACAAGCAGAAAGCCCAAAGTCTTGATTGCCCTATGCTGAGTTAGTGCCTCTTCTGTGAACTTTTTTTTTATTTATTTCAGTAGCTTTTTGGCAAAGTACCTAGACACATTTCATACTGAAAGATGCAATCCTTTTTAGGTCAGATACTCATTTAAATAAAAAAGAAACATAGCAGCAATGAATATTGTTCATTTTGTGTTCCTTACAGTTGGTTGAGATGCTGGATATGTCTGTTCCTGCAGTCGCAAAGCTGAGACGTCTTTTGGACAATCTGCCTAGAGAAGCTTTGCCAGACATACTGACTTCTATCATCCGTACATCCAATCAAGAGAAGCTTCAGGTATTACATTCTTAAACTTTTTTAAGGAGAATTAGGCGTTTGCTATTTTTTTTACAGTTAATCACTTTTAGGTAATTTTGAAATTGCTTACACTTGAGACTGCACAGCAGTAATGTTGCGCCAGAAGGTATTTGTGTTACAACTGAGTATGAATAGTTGTAAAAAGTTTTTGTAGTGTTGTTTAAAGTGTTTATATATCTCTATGTCAGAACTCACCTAGTAGGTAAATTAGTTAGCATTGGAAACTGTTCATTTTACTAAACAATAAGTACAAGGGAAGGACTTCCCCTTCTCATGGTAGAGATGATAAATCTTTCTTCAAACTGTGTTGAAATCTTGCTTAGTTGTCACAGTTGACAGATCGTTATATATCTTTTAGTACCAACAGCTTCAGAACCAGTTTTTTTTTAATCTTTTTAAAAACATCTTGAAGTGTGGGCTTTTTTAAATATTGAGATACTGGTTAAATTTCCATCATATGTCAAAATAACTTTATGTAAAAATGATGCCTATGGCTTGATGCTTACTAGTCTGATTTCTATATTTGCTTGCTGTGTTCAGAAGTTTTGTTGTTCCTTTTCTTTTGCCACTGCCAGTGCTGCATGTTCAACCTTGAATTGAAAGCATAACTTAGGTTCTTTCAAAGCAAACAAATAGAAATTAATGCAGTAATTTGAAGTGAAGGTGTGTACTGCAGCTGAATATCCTGCTGGAGGAAGGTACATTAGTCATTAAATTTACCATGTCCTTGTTTTTTGTTAGAAGTGCTAAAGAAAAGAGCAGCTAGTGGAAGCTATGGAAATACTGAAGAGTCAAATTCTACCCATTTCCACATATCAGCTTCATTAAACATAAAAATGGAATAGTGTATAAAATTTTAAAAGACAAACAAAATAAGCAAAAAATGGAAACCAAACAAAAAAAAACCTTAAAGCATAAGGTGATTTTTTTTTTTTTCTGGGTTAACCAAGGAGATCATGCTGTAACTTTTAGAGGGCTAGCCCTTTCCTGAGACTCAGTAATTGAAAAAATAGAATACTCATAGATGCTTGCCACAGAAAATGCCACTGAAATATTAAGGCGCTTTAAAAACAGACAGGATAAAAGAGGTGTTTTTTTATTTTGGAGTGCTTTCTAGTTTTGGCATCCAGAGCCTTGAGGCTAGATTTTGTGTGCTGTATTCTCATTGCTTTTCTTGCTACCTTTTTTTTCCTAAACCATCTATTCTGTAACTCTGGTCAAAAGACAGTAACAGTACCCTCTGTGTTACCCTCCCCCAAACTAATGATCCATCAGCGTGAACTTGTTGGCTGCTTATAACTCCTTGCTTTTAGATTTTAGATGCTGTTAGGCTGGAAGAACGGTTCAAGATGACTATACCATTGCTTGTTAGACAGATTGAAGGCCTGAAGCTGCTTCAGAAAACAAGAAAGCCCAAACAGGATGATGATAAAAGGGTATGGACCTTTAAATGTGGGATACTTAAACATCCTAAATAAGTATAAAGAGGCATTTTTAATAGGCTAATGAACGTGCAAAATTTTAGGCTGTGCAAAGTTTTAATCTATAGCCATAACGTTTCATGGTCAGTCTGGAGTTGCAGAGAACACCCAGCTGGCAACTTTGGCTGTTCAGATACCTAAAAGAGAAAATATTATTTTTAAACTGCATAGACTTTATATTTATTTATTTAATTTTTAATCTGAGCACTTTCTGACATTGAATAAATGCTCAGGTTCCCTTAAAGAGTCATTTGATGCCCAGTTTACATGCATGGTATGCACACACTGAGTTTTGGCCTGTGCAGTGAAAGGTGTACCTTTTACTAATGGCATTGCAGATGAATGATAGCTTTTGAAATACAGATAAAGAATGTGTGTTGTAAAATGTAGCTTGCTAAACTAGGGCAGCTAAGACTTTTGCTGCATCTAACTTTACTTACACAGTTCAGTAAACAGGAAGTAACCGAGAAATTAAAAAAGGTAAGAGAGAAGACTTATGCATTTTGTAAAGATTAGGCTTATTCTGCTTAATATGATGGGCTGCAATGCCCAAAAAATCACAAATAACTCTTTTCAGTTTTGTTCTTGTCTTCTGTTATCTGCTAGTTTAGGGTAGATGATAAATGCACTTAGGAAATATATACAGTAAAATAAGAACTGTAACTTTTTGAAGTAGTACCAATAACACTTTGCGAAGTTATTTATTGGATTAATATCTTCTGAATTTTTCTATGAAAGAGGCGCTCTCAGCACCTTGCCTGTTTTTGTCATGGTTTCCATTCAAAGCCAAAGTACACACCTTATTTAAAAAACAAAACCTGATACTATTCTCTGGGTCTGTTTTCCATTTTATAGGTCGTAACTATTCGTCCTAATAGAAGAATCAATCACATTCCAAGCACTACAGAAGATGAGGAGGAAGAAGCAGATAATGATGATGTTGTCATGCTGGAAAAAAAGATTAGAACATCCAGTATGTCAGAACAAGCTCTTAAAGTTTGTCTTAAGGAAATAAAAAGGTAGGAGACTTTCAAATGGTGATTTCTTCTTAGTTTATTTTTTAAAACAAATCTTGCATTAACCTTTTCTTATTTGATGATATGTTTGTGTTGATTGTGTTTTGGAAATGATTTTTAAAAATTTAGTAGAGTGCTGTTTTTTGCTTATACATTTCATCATTTCATCCTTTTGGAACATCAGAGGTGATGACAAAGAAATAGGAAGTCTTCTAGATACGGTTTATATATTAATATAGCATTAAGCTGTAAGCTCTAAGCCTCCATGTTATGAAGTTAAGATAAAAAAAAAAAAGCTAAATAACAACTGCAGTTGTTAATAATTAATGAATTAATGAATAAACTGACCCATTTATTGAGTCTTTTTTTCCCTCTGTTTTTCTATGGTGAGAGGGTAACTGAGCTATCCATGGTTAACAACCTCTTTTTCAGTGAGGATGCATATATCATGGTGCATGGGTGCATGCATTTTGTATGCATAGGGAACTGACTCTTTTCCATTTGTTTGTATCCTATAAATTAGCTATTATTATGCAAAGGCAATCTCCTAATTGATGGAGTAATCAATTAGGAGTAAAAGAGCTTGCTCTTTTATTATTATGGTTGTCAGAAAGTAAGAGAGTATGCTGATGACCTCAAGTTAGCTAAATATCTTCATAGAATCATAGAATCATTTAGGTTGGGAAAGACCTTCATGATCATCGAGTCCAACCATCATCCATGCCCACTAAACCATGTTCTGAAGTGCCTTGTCTACATGCTTTTTGAATACCTCCAGGGATGGTGACTCAACCACTTCCCTGGGCAGCCTGTTCCAACGGTTGACAACTCTCTCAGTAAAGAAATTTTTCCTAATATCCAACCTAAACCTCCCTTGCTGCAACTTGAGGCCATTTCCTTTTGTTCTGTCTCTAGCCACCTGACAGAAGAGACCAGCACCCACGTCACTACAGCGTCCTTTCAGGTAGTTGTAGAGAGCGATAAGGTCTCCCCTCAGCCTCCTCTTCCCCAGACTAAACAGCCCCAGTTCCCTCAGCCGCTCCTCAGAAGACTTATGCTCCAGCTTTGTTGCCCTTCTCTGGACATGCTCCAACACCTTGATGTCTTTCCTGTAGTGAGGGGCCCAAAACTGAACACAGGACTCGAGGTGTGGCCTCACCAGTGCCAAATACAGGGGAACAATCACCTCCCTGCTCCTGCTGGCCACACTATTTCTGATGCAGGCCAGGATGCCGTTGGCCTTCTTGGCCACCTGGGCACACTGCTGGCTCGTATTCAGCCGGCTGTCAACCAGCAGCGCCAGGTCTTTCTCTGCCGGGCAGCTTTCCAGACACTCTTCCCCAAGCCTGTAGCGCTGCATGTGGTTGCTGTGACTGAAGTGCAGGACCCGGCACTTGGCCTTGTTGAACTTCATGCAGTTGGCCTTGGCCGATCAATCCAGCCTGTCCAGATCTCTCTGTAGAGCCTTCCTAATCTCGAGCAGATAGGTGCAGGTGAGTCCTACTTTGCAGTTAATTCCTGGTTAGCCTTATGAATTCTGTGCATATATTTCCAGATTAAAGAAGATGCCTCAGTCTATGCCGGAATATGCTTTGACAAGAAATTACTTGGAACTGATGGTAGAGTTGCCATGGAACAAGAGTACAAAAGGTAAACCCTTCTGGTTTTTTTTGTCACTTGTGCAGACATTTTAGGATGAGTAACCATCATATAAACACTATGTACTTAGTTTTGTCTTGCAAATGTTTGTGTCATTGTCTGGTTGTAAAAATGTCATTAATATGTTACTGAAGTCTTACGGTCTACCTGGCTTAAAGTAAGACCTGTATACTGAGTAGCCTGTGTAGCTCAGTTGTACATCTAAGAATGTGAATTTTAAAAGTATTAGGAATATCTACACCGAAGAATGAAGGTGATATTACTTACAATCTGTGCTAGCATGTATCTGAAATAATACAGAAAAATGCATCTAATTACTTTTTATATGTCAGACAAAAAAGCTTTTGTACATTTATGTAGCATTAATCTTGCTGAAGAAGGTTCTGGTATGTCTTAAGTTAATCAAGTTTGGTAAGGAACAGAAGGATGAAAAAAACTTCAGGTACAATAGAAAAACTGAGTATCATGTCAGCTTTGTACCACGGTTTTCAAAAGTTGTGAGTAGAGAGTGATACTATTAATATGGGAACAGTATGCAAAAATGGAGAGTGTAGAAAACCAAACGTGGCTTTTTCTGCTGACCAACACAAGTGGATTAATTGGGCAAAATGACTTTCCAGAAGGTGCACTGCTGGAGAAAAGTATTTTAATTCCTTCTATCAGCTACTGAAGAATGAGGCTTTTGAATGGCATTTAAAACAATCTGATTTTAAAAATAAATTTAACATACCACACAAACAGAAACATGTCTATCTTTTGCCTTCTCAGTATGCATGGTGATGAATTTTTGGCTGTTTTGAACTAGAGCCTTGGCTGTTTACAAATCTTGTAAATATTTTCTTTAATCATTAAATTGTAAAAAGATCTGCTTACAGATCTTTGCAGATCTCTATGGTTTGTTCAAAGAATCCCAACATGAGTTAAGTATTTGTTGACACTCATGTCCTAGCAGAATGGTTTTTTTGGTGAAAGTTGCTCTTTAATCTTGTAAAATTATGCCATGTCACATGTAGTTTGAAGTTTTTACTTTAAGCAAACTTGTAAAGTTTGTATTCATATTCATGTGAGTGATGCTTTGGACTCTATAGCTTCAGTGAATAAAAATATACATGAATATAAAAATAGAAAATCCAATAGAAAATTATGATCATTAGTGAATTTTTTGTTCAGTAGTTTATTACAGAAATTTACTTGATTGATGATGAGAATTTAATTACAATTGTCTGTACTTGAAATATGCACACTCACTGGTATGAGGGGTCCGCATCTGGAATGCATAGAATTTGAAGGGTAGGTGGGTGCAGAATTGATAGACTTCACTGCTTCCTGCCTACTCTCTTTATGTTGTAGAGCAAAGGAGAAGACAGCTGCTTTGTGCCAGAAATTCCTGCTCTGTGCAAAGCATTAGTTAATGTCCGTTGGTGAGGCCTGACCATTTATCTCAAAATATGGTAATTGTAATTGAAAAAAAAAAAAAAAAAAAAAAAAGATTTTTCCACACCTAGTGTCACATGGGTATTTTTTACAGTGCCAAATCACTTTGTGTTGCATAGCAAGTAAAGCCTGCTCTTCAAGCCAATAAGATCTTGCTCTGTTTGCGAGGTAGTTATAGACCCTTGTCATAAGTACATGTTGAAGATATAGGGATGAATTTGTCTTTTGAGAAGACCTTACAGGATCAGACTTATTTCTGTGAGAAAGCAAATACTGAAAAATTTGCTTATCATTGAATTGCTGTTCTAGATTAGACACTAAGTTCATCTGAAATAGATTTCAATGTGACACAGTGAAAAGGTGCGTTTTTTAAAATTTCATTATCAGTACCATGATCCGTGTAACTTATGTCTAATTTCCTTATTAAAGGAGAATTATACCTTTGTTTTAGGAAAACATTGTGTGAAATACGTGTGTGTGTCAGGGGGATTGCATTGATGAACATGTTTGAGAAAGAGTTTTTCTCTTGTATTGTAGAATAAATTCTTTCATTTTTTTAAAGGTAAATGTGCTAATATCTTTTCTGTTGTCAATGATTGATAGATCGCCTTGAAATTCGTGCAGCTCGAATTCTTTTGGATAATGATCATTATGCTATGGAGAAGTTGAAGAAGAGAGTTTTGGAGTACTTAGCTGTCCGACAGCTTAAAAACAACCTCAAGGGACCCATTCTATGTTTTGTTGGGCCCCCAGGAGTTGGTAAAACTAGTGTTGGAAGATCAATTGCAAAGACTTTGGGTCGAGAATTCCACAGAATTGCTTTAGGAGGAGTCTGTGATCAGTCTGATATTCGAGGCCACAGGTAACTACTTCCTTTCCTAACTGTAATTTTTTCTTTTGTTTGTTACAAAATGTATTGATTATTTTCATTGTTTAGCTAATACAGAGAAATTTTGCTTATTTCAAACAATAGTAGTTATTAATTGATTTTTCTTGGTATTCAGTGGTATTCAGGAGAGAATTTTAGTAATGGGAATGGATGTTTAGTGTTGAGATACAGCCTTTATTCTTTCTCCTGCTGCTACCCTTTATTGTCATACAGGACAGTGGAATTTAATCTTTAGTCATCTGGGCACTTTGAAGTAAAATTCAGTAGAAAGTCTAATGCAAACTCTTAAATGTTGGATCTGATTTTTCTGCTTTTTAGGAGGGAGGTAAAGATTTAGTTACACAAAATAGTCTGTGAATAGCAATGCATTACTTTATAACCATGTTTGTTGCTAAAACAGGAGGAGAAACTGAGAGTAATACTTAAAAGTTGCTAGAGGATAGCAGCTGGGTTACTTGGTATCTCAAACTTGTTAGTGTACTATTTTCCCATTTCAAAAGGAAGTTTATACAAGGATACCTAAGCTGGAAGATTTCAAATGAGATTTTTTGGGTGACTTTCCTTAGGACTTTTTTTGATCTTGCATTACTTTATGTATCTACTTCTTAGTCTTTTAAACCATTTGTTCATATTAGTCCATTCCCCATTCCTTGCAACTGGAAGCATAATGAATGGGTAATGTATATAAGTAACTGCCAAACATCTGTGCAGCACTTTTGGTCCCATTAAACGTATTTTATGCTTATTGCATACAGTATAGGAAATTTGGAATAATGAATTTGTTAGTGTTCTAAAGATCTGTAAAACCATGTGGGTTTGTGTTTTTTTTTTTAAAGTCATACTATTGAATACAATTTCTCCTTACAACAGTAGGTAAATTATTGTGAATTAAAGCTGTCAGTTATTTCTTTGATGCCATGTAGCAGTTAATTTTGCCCAATGGCTATGCTGCTACTTTCAATCATCAGATACACCATCATTCTTTCTTCAATTCCAGGTTATTTTGTAATTTCTTCTTGTTTTCAAGGCATGAAAAGGACCTTGGTATTCTTACCACTTCCCTATGTAATTGTAATGAAAACTTAAAAGAAATGCCCTAATTAAAGTTCATTTTGTAGTATGAGACTTCAAACTGCTGACTGTGTAAGCTAGTTGCATGTGTGAATACATTAGAATGTGGAAGCTCACAGCCCCAGCTGGAGGGAATGTGGAGACTCACTGGGAAATCTTGTGCTTAACATATTCATAAACTTATAGGAATCTGGAATATAATGTATTTCTAGGAATCTATAATATAATATACTACTGATCACTTCTTAGACCAGAACATGAGACATGAAAAAGTGACAAAATGGTGATTTTGTACTTGATGACAACTTGAAAATTCAGAGTTGTTTCATAAACCTTTAGTTCAGCACTCTTGCTAAAATGAGCAACATGTGTTTATTCCTGTGCACATTCTTCTGTGGCAAATTTGCAGGAGTTTTGTTTTCCAGAGTGTTTGACACTTACGTAGAGTTTGTAGCTTGAAAGAACATTTGTAAGTTTTTTTTCTTAGTGTAGTCAACATACCCAGCAGCCACTGGGGGTTTGTAGATAGATTTGTTTTACCGCATTGGTTTTTACTGCATAGCAGCACTCTGTGCATGTGATTGTTTTGCAAACCTTTGTAATAGCTGGCCTTTTTACCCATTTACTTACACACTAGTGGAAAAAGAAGTGAAACTTTGTGCTCCTCCTTCACTATGTATTATTCCTGTAATCACTGTTTAATAAGTGAGAATTCTGATGTTTCAGACTACTTATGGCATGGATCCTAAAAACAGTTTAAAATGTGATTCAACATGTTGCTATTCGAACTGAAACCACTAGAGGCTGTTGAATACTAAGCGTCATAGACATAAGTAACTCTTCCAGGGCAGAGCAGGGAAGCCTTTCTAACAGGGAAACCACGTCTGTGAAATTGACATTATGAATAAAAGTAAAACTGTCATAAACTCTTACTCAAGTGCCAGTAATTCCTTACTGTTTTCCCTTTTTTTGTTTGGTTTGTTTGGCTTTCTATCTTGTACTTAGACCTAATAAAGAATAAAGACAGCTAGAGTCATGCGATAGTGAGGCCTTTTAAAACTTTTAAATTCAGGGGTTTGTGGCTGTCACTGTAGTATTTTTGAGGGCATTATTAAATTATTAATGCATGTTAGAAGATAACCATTATAAATTTCATATTAAAAAAATTAACTTGAAATTAGCTGATGGGAAGTATTTGATAAGACAGTTTATTTTGCATCAGCAAAGGAAAATACTATCTAGAATTAGCAAGAGTATCATTTGGTTACTCTTCAACAAACAAATGTATAGTTTAAAAACAAACTTTAGAGCAGTTAGTATGAGGAGTCCCTTGTAACAGACTGCTTTTGCAAGTTTTTGATAGGTAAAATCAAGACCAACTGTTGCATATTGTTTTTTTAATTCTGCTTCACTTTTTTTTTTTTCTGCTTTTCTGCTTCTCAGAATAAGATTTAATCAAATTAAAAACTATAGCTCTTCTGTGGACCTCTCTCTGTAATGTCCTTTTGAATTAATAAATCCTTCAAGTTATTCCCAGTCAAGTGAATCTATGTTGTGCATCTGGTGGCAGTGATAGAGAGGAATTACAGAGGTGGTCTAAAAGTGGAGGAGACATAGGCTGCTGTTCTCTTGAGTTTTACTGTTAAGTAGGCTGATTTTCTAATATGACATGTTAGGAGCCATTCTTTCTTTCCTGAAAGCTCCTTATTAGGCTTTAAGGCTTAAGTTAATGATTCCATTAACATTGCAGAAGAATGATACTATATGTACCTACTAATGTACTAAACATTTTAAAGAATGTACTAAATATACTAGAATGTTACAAAAGAGACTGTGGTTCAGTTTCACTTTCAAGCACTCACTTTGGCCTCTTATTACTGTTGTAAGTGAAAAATGCGGACTGATAGATTCAGCAAGCAAAATAAAATTTATTAGGTGGCAGCAGGGTGGGGAGTGGTGTTATAGTAAGTGTGCTGTTCTGTGTGATGTGTAACTAGGGTAACTGGAAACACCCAGTTTTTGCCATTTTAGTGTGGATCATGTGCCTGCAGCTGCTGTTTGTGAGTCCTTTTTTGATTGGGTGAAGAGTAGCAACTACTGTTCTGCATTCCCAAAATGAAATCATCATCTTGGTACAAAAACAGAACTACTTTATCAGACATCCTCCAGCTGTTGTTTGCATTTACCACTCATCTATACTATATGTTAAAGTTTGCTGGTTTACATTTGTTGTTAACTTTTATTAAAAAAAAAAATTTAAATAACCAAACCACCCTAAAGGATGACTTAGAACTTTTCTCCAAGGAGCTTGCTGCATTTAAGAGCTCCTCATTACTGATACTTTGTTTTATACAGGAACTATATGATCTTCTCTGTTGCATGTGTGTGTGGTCTTCTATTTTTAAAAAGGAAAGATATAATTGTGCCATTTATTTATAGTGGTGCTGGTGAGATCACTGTGAAGCTCTTTTTTCTCCCTCTCACCTCCATGTGAAGCACTCTTTCTTATATTACCATTGTTTTTCAGTTTCTAGAAGTTTGGATAGTTTACTTCTGGCTTAGGCCTGTGCTGAAGACTTGTTCAGGTGCATCTGTGTGCGAAAAGCTGTGATTCCTCACCAGTACAGAAGTTCACAGCACAGGCCTTGTTGCACTAGAAAAAACCAAACCTCTAACAGTTTCACCTTTGAGAGGAATAGCTTTGTTATACAACTACAAAGCATAGATACATTTGTAAAGCACTTGAGTAGACACAATGTCTGTCCTTGCAAAAAAATAAGCTGTGACCTTGTGCAACTAAGTTCAGAAATAGTTTATTTGGTGGCATTAACTTTGTTATCTTTTCCTACCTCTGCAGTTTGAAAATCACTGTAGTTAAAAAGAATTCAAAAATGTTTGTCTTTAGAACAGTATGAAGAAAGTGAGTCATGTTTTTATCAATAATAGTAGTACTGCTTTAAGGATTTAGATTCATATACATTCTCAGTTTACATTAGGAGAGCTGGCAAGGTTAGATTTCCCAGCTATCATTCTTGCATTTTCTAGGATACGTAGCTCCTAATGACGTGCTGTACAACTCTAGTGTTTTTTTTTTTTTAAATTGATTTAAAAATAAATAAAAAGATTACTGAATTACAGACCTTCTGTGGCATGAGCTCTTAAGGTTTTTTTTTTAATTGTTACTATGCAAGTGAGATAACCAGGAAACTTGATCTGTACTTCCTGTTCTGAATGGAAAACAGCTGACTCTCTGGGTTTAATGCATAGAGAGAAACAGTGCATCAAAAAATGAGCAAAGCTTCATTATATCATCAAAAATGCTAATGTAGAATATTGTTCTTTCTCCTTTCAACCCTAGCTAAAATAATGAAAATAAAGAATAACATCACATTCAGTGGCTACTGTTCACAAACAGCAGTATTCAGTTTCACAAGTTACAAGGCAAAGGTTAATGTCCAGACAGATAATGGCCATATCTGCTTGTAATTTTAATATATTCTAGTGGTTTTATAAGTAAATATCTGCAGGGTCTGTCTTACCAAGGACTCGTGTTGAGATGCGTTCCCTAATAATCATTTAGAAATGAAAACAAGCTACCTATGTATTTTCAAGGTAGAATGTTACGTTATTGTTCTTTGTCATCCTACATATGACGTTTGCATTAGCATTCTTTACTTGCCATGGAGATCTTGAGTCTTTGATTAATGAAATAGGTACTGGTCCATCTCTAATAAATGAAGATGCATCACAGATTTAGTGTTACACATAGGAAGAATGAATAGATACCTAGGTATTTGTTATCCTAAAATGTATAGTCCAAGTTTCTATTCCGTGATACCTGATCACATTATGTAAATAAATTTAAGCATGCTTTTATTTGAAATTTTGTACATCAGTTAAACATTTATATTTATATTGCAGTTAGTTGTTTAGATTTACCATGTCTAGGGATGATTGAAAATACAAATAAGAAGATGACAGTATGAGAGAGGAAGAGTGAGAATAGTCGATTGTCAGGTAGTAAAATGAAGAGCAGAATGTTTCTAGCCACCATGCACTTTTCTCATCTGTTAACCCTAATTCTGTGGAGACTGAGTATTTTGTGGAACTGCTCCATATTTTCAACAATAGTTCCTTTAATTTTGACCTTTGAGTTTCTTGAAGAACTCTTGGATTGTACAGGGAACCATTTCATCCTTTTCGTAATATTGGATCCATTTCAGTTGGACTGTGGTTTCTCTTCAAGTTTTTTTATACAGTAGTTCATGACCCAAGGCTTACTTTGGACAGGGTGCATTATAAAAAAAATTAAATTAATGATTTTCTGTCACTGTTAGAATGTTTTTCGTATTGCTTGCTTTAGAAGCCACTTAATTTTTATACTCTTAAAATTGTATTTCTCCAAGTTATTGATCTCACTTGACTTGTCATAAGTTGTCTTGAGTATATTTGCTTTTTTCTGCTTTTTCTTCACCACAGGTCTTGATACATTGTACTTCAGCCTACCTAGTGTATGGTTTATTTTAAAATGTTAAGAAACTTGATTGTGTACAACAGTTAAGTCTTACTGAAAGATGCTGTATCTGTGAGAATCTTCCACCAGTGTAAATGTGTCACTAAATACCCAAATCTACTTGAATCTAAAATGACTGTGACTTGAAGTCTATTTTCAGGGTTGTTTGAGGGGGAAGAAAACTTATTTAAATCTATTAATAACAACAGCTTTTTTTTATCTCAAGAAAGAAAAATCTCTTCCTGTTTTGTTGTTTTGGGGTTTTTTAAGTGCTTCTATTTGGAAAAAACCTCCAAAATAGTTTTTGAAAGTGGTATGTGTGTGTGCGTGGGTATAAACAAACAGATTTATTATTCAGAAAATGTTTTGGTACCTAACACTATCCTTTGACCTGTATTGTTGCAGGGAGATGTTGTAGGGAGAGAAAAAGTGATTATTCACAGTGCTTTCCCTTGACTAGAGAAACCCAGTTTACCTTCATTTAGTTTATAAACCAAAGCTGTTTCTTAAAACTAGATGGAACATAGATATTTCAAAATTTTATAGAATTTAAAAGGATCAGATAAAACTTTGTGTATATAAAACCACAAGCATGCATTAAAAAAGTATAACATCTTTAAGCATGCACTTGAGAATAATGTACCAAGCAAGATAGAAGAATGGTTAATGTTTACCTAATTATGTTATCCTATTACTGACATAAATAGAATATTGAAAACAGTCAGGCTGCATTGTCTCTGAAGCATATAAAATTATTTACCAGTGCAGTAAGCATCTTTTGTTAAAAAAAACAAAACAAAACAACAACAAAACCACCACTAACAAACAATGAAACAAACGAAACCTAAAACCACAAACAAAAAAAGTAACAGCAAAAACCCCCAAAGAAACCCCCAAATTGCTACAATGATTAATTTGGTTGCACTGGTAAATGATTCATTTCTGTGAACTTCAGTTCTGCTTCAGTCTTGTAATTTTCTGATTGCATTTTATAGAATCCTTTCATTCTTTTGGCAAGGTTGACTGTGTGCAGATGAAGAATGAAGCTGCATGCCAGTGTAATAGCTCCCCCATGCAGATTCTTGATCTGTAGTAAATGTTATACAGCACAATCTTCAGTGGAAAGGAATCCACTCACTCACTGCAGAGTAAGACTCTACACAAAAGCAGTGAGGTGATAAACTATTGCATGCTGACTGCTCCGGTCTTCAGCAGCTGTCTCATGAAGGTGGTCACAGACAAACTGAAATTCTGTTGCATTTCTGGCTATTCAGAAGATCTTAAAAACTTTTCTTTTTGCTCAGATCTAGAATTAAATACAGTAACTACAATTTGTTCCCTTGGTTAAATATTACATGGAACCAACACCATTGCTGTGTGGTTTGAGTTGGGTTTTTTTAATATTTAAAGTACTCTCTAGTATCTTTTGAAATTACTCCCATGGTATTTTTGGTTTCGTCTTTCTAAATGTCATCCTGTTTATTTTGGACTGTATTGAAACAGATCATATGGCAAAGCAGGCCTGTGCTGCATATCTGCTTCGTGAGGGTCATGAGATAGGTACTGTAATTCAGCACTTTACGTATCTCTTTCTTCTTGAGTGACCAGCATTTCATACTCTTAATTTTAGTATTTTGTTTAGCTATGGCACAAGCAGAAAAGGCTGTGATAAATGCAGCAAACAAGGGATATATATGCATGTAAAATGTAGTTGGTCTGTGCATTGTGAAAAAAAGGTTTTACCACGTTTGCTGAATAAATTCAGGCTCATAACTTTTTTGCTCCATTGCACTGTTCTAGTTTTTTATTTTATGTTGAAATGACATAGTAAATAAAATTATTTTTTGTATTAATTAAAGCATGCTGTATATACAGGGGACAGTTCAGCGTATTTGGAATTTTGCACTAATTTGTAACATGCTGTGTGAACTGTGTTGTGATGACAAAACCCCAGTATCATTATTATTAAAATGTTAGTATTAATGAGGTTCCCAAATCTGCTTCTGCTTGTTCATACAGTACAAGGATGCTTGTACTGAATCATGTAAAATGCCTGCAAGCCATAAAGTTTGGATATACTTTAATGCATATGTTTATCTTTCCAGACCAACTAGTGCACCATGGAAGTGGAATTTTCATCTGCTGTTATAATTGCTTATATTAGTTCAGATGTATATTCCATACTTTTATCAACTAGTTCCAAAAAGTTTTCCAAAAAAGCAAGAATTGTTATAATGCTGCTTATTCTTTTATTTTCCTTTGAGTTTTGTTTTTGATGTTTCTACTCCTGTTACATGCTTCTGGCCCCTCTTTCCCCATATACATTTACTTCTCACAGGCGCACCTATGTTGGCAGTATGCCTGGCAGAATAATCAATGGACTGAAGACTGTTGGAGTTAACAATCCAGTATTCCTGTTAGATGAAGTTGATAAACTGGGGAAGAGCTTGCAGGGGGATCCTGCAGCAGCCTTGCTTGAGGTAAGGGAAGTTAAATTACAAGCATTGTTTCATTTGTAATTAAAAAGAATTAAAATACTGGACTCGGAAAGGAGGATTCACTGGACAAAAGATAGCATGACAGTGTCAGCTTTTTTATTCAAATACCAGCTACTATGTTTTGACATTGTTGGATTTCTGTCAATTGTGCACAATGCAAATGCTGTTATATAGTATGCTAAGCAAGATATCTTTAATCTCAGTGATCTATACTTAAACACAAGGATGTGTTTTGTGCTAAGTGTTTTGTATATTTGAAGACTGTTCAAGCCTTGAATGTTACATATTTGAGGGACTTCAAGACATTGATTTTTAATGACCAAATGCTGTTAGCTATAAGAAAGAACTGTAGAGTAGCCAGACAGTAGCTGGACTTTTTCAAGTTTTCCCTTTCTTTCTTAGAACAATTTTATTATATTTTTGAAGCTTTTGAAGGTACAAGCTTATATTGGAGCTAAGCATTTTACCTAGCATGTAAGATGAACTAGTTGCATTGTTGTTTCAGCAGCAATTCTTTAATTAGTGTTGTAATTAACTTTCTGAACTTAAGTTTTTCATTTAAGTCACAGATCCCCACTCCTTGACTGATTATGATGTGGTGCGTGTTTGCTTTCCATGACAGTCAGCTATTAAGTGTGTTTTTTCTGAAATTCTGGGACTCTGACCAAGATATAAATTAATCTAATTTTGAAGTATGTGGTGTAGTTATTTTATGACAAAGAGTTTAGAGGTGTTAAATTTGGCTTGCTTAAAGACACAAGTAAAATCTAGGAGATACAAGTAAGGACTTTGAGCGAGATACTGTTGGAATATTTTGTAAATCCATCAACTGTTGAGATGTTACTGAATGTGCCTTGCAGGTTTCATGTGTCAGAGGAGTCTGTAGCAGAGAGCAGTAACGAGTTGCCAGAACCTTCTTTCTGTCTTCTTTTTTCCTGGAGTATGATACATGATGATATCTGAGTACAATTCCTTCTTCCACTGACTTGCTTATTCAGTGGTTTTATTCTAGCAGTTTGCTGGAGAGAGGAAGGAACATCTCCTCAGCTATGGGGAAGAGACAAAGAGCTTTGCTGTTCCCCAGCGTCTTAGTGCAGCAGGCTATGTACATCTTCCTGTGCTAGCACTGATGATGAGGAAAGGAGGGAATGAGGAAGGTAGTGGCACAGCAAGGCTGGGCTAGGTGAAACACTTGAGGCTGTCCAGAGCAGGTGTAGCGCTAGTGCACTTAATGGTTTTGGTATTGTGCACACTTAGAATGTCCTTATACTGCTGTATTTTTACACTATCTACTTCTCTTTTACGTTCTCTCTGGCTGTAGGGGCTACCATCCTATCACTGTTTCAGCTGAAATGCTTCTGTGATTGTTCTTTACCTGTTTCAGTCAAAAGGAGTTGGGTTAGTAAAAGATATTTATCCAAATTTTTTGAGCTAGCCTGGCTAGCTTTCACTGAAATGATTTAGGGCATAATCCTAGAAGCACTTCAGTTGTCAGACTTAAGGCGTGGTAACTTCTGTAGCTTGGCGGTTGTAGGTGGGGATGAAAGTAGTTCTGGTAATATTTGCCTACAGTCATTCTAATGACTTTTTGACTGACAATGCTTAATACAGTGATTTGAATATGCAAAATGCTACTTTAATTAGGGTGTCATAAGCTCATCTGTATGCTGTATGATTTTCTGCAAATGAAATGTCAATTGACATCCTACAAATGTCATTATTTTCTTCCTGCTAGATAGTTTAAAATTACTGTTTTGACAAGGCCAACTAGTTCTTTGAAAATCATCATATGAACAGGCTATGGTTTGAGAGCTCTGTTTTGATCTTTGCATGTTAACATGAACCAGTAATAATTTAAATGTGCTAGAAAATACTATGGCTTCACTTTTGTAGCTTTTAAAAATGACAGTTATGGTCCTTTACCTGTGTATTTCTCAAGTATGTAGTACACATTTCTAGGGTGCATGAAAAGCCTCTAAGTGCAAGGAAAACAAGCAAGGGAGTGTAACAAATACTCAAATGCATTTTCTTTGTACTTTTCACTTGCGGGATTTTATTTACTCTTTGCTGTTAATGGTAATGAGCTCTTGTCTCTGAGTTTGCTGATATTTCTTCTGTCATTTCTCCTTTAGATATTGAACTAAGCTGGCCTCAATCTAGTCAATGCATGGATAAAAAATACCTGAAAATCAAATTTTTTTAGCTAGCTGACTGTTGCTTGCTAGGCAGTCAAAATCAGTAATGAAGCAATGATTTGGCATTTCTTGGAAAGTGAATAACTCTTTTTGGAAGTGTTCCAATCATGAATCCAGATCTGTACATTAATATTGTTAATTTTATTCAACCTTTGCTGTTTCTTTTAATTTATTTTTTATTCCCTGTCTTGCAGTAGAGAATTAGCATTTCTGTTCTTCTATCATGTCAAGTGTGTGAGGGCAAATGAAATGAATTTATTTTTTAATTATTTATGTTTAAATTTTTGATACTTTGTTGCTGCTTTGGGGTGTTTCTGTTTTCCATATTTTAAAACCTCATTCTCAGTGATATTCAACTCAGCTCCTGCCATGGATTTTTCCAGCTGAGGCTTGTCAGGTTAGCTTCCAACTGTCTGCTTGGGCTGCAGTCTATATGTAAGTTGTAGCTAATTGACCATTAGTTGCATCTGGAGAAATAATTGCTCTTTTAACGATGTCTGGGCTGCTCTCATGTGAGATCTGTATATCCCTCTACTGCTGTCTAAACATCCTGAAGCAGGTGCTTTACCTCTTCTAATGGAGAACTCATGCCTGGATATAACAGCTTAATTTTCATCTGCTTTTTGTGGTTTATGGTCCATCTGGAATGGGCAAAGGTGGCTGTTATGTAGGAGAACAAACAATAGTAAGTGGTCACCTAACTGGTACATTTGTTTTTCAGACTGCTGCTTCTTGTTTGGTGAGTGCCATCATTAAGTATAAAAGGCACATCCTTTTTTCCTTAATGTGTAGGTGTGTTAAATTCTCACTGACTGTCTATAATGGGATATATTCAAGGAGAAAATTGCCATACCCTGTAAGGTTGGAAGCAAAGCTTGTTGTTTTATAATTGCCAAATATGTGTTTAGTTCTAGTGCTTCTGCAGAGTTGTTCCTTAAGCAAAACAGAATGTCTTCCTATTTCCAGTTACTGTTCATCAACAAGGGAATGTTTTAGTCTAAATTTAGATGACCTCTGTTTAAAACAAGAAAACAGAAATGGATCCAAGTGCCTGATAGTGAGTATTTGTATGCAGGGAAATTAGACCAGGAGCATAGCCAGCCAATTAAATGTTCATGGAACTTATTCTGGATTTTGTGGTAATAAAAAGCTGGTACAGAGAAGCCTTTGTATACATGTGAACTGTCAGCCATAAATTAACCAAGATGTTTTGTTCACTGAATGTTCTTTTTGTACTTAATATTTTTGTATTAGTTGAATATCTTTGAAAACTTTTGAACTTGAACTTTAGCACAGATACCTAGCTGAAGAACAGTTCTATTTGCTTTGGAAAAATCTGTTTTAAATGCATAGGTGTGGTATTGTTTTATGTCTTATTCTAAGAAATAGTTACCATGACGAAGAATTATTACTCCAGAGAAACTCTAGCCCTTGTAGAAAATCTCAGATAATTCACCTTTTTAGATGTAATCCGAGTTGGTTTTGATTAGTTTCTTTTACCTTTATTGGATAGTATTGTTTGCGCATGAGTACAGCATCAATATTTTGTATATCTTTGTAAATAATATTATAATCACCAGTTTAGCACTTTAATAGTATTCGTAAGGATTTCTAGTTGCAGACTAGAAGGAGAGAGAGATAAACATGCATGTAGATAACTTATAAAAAACCAACTTGGTCTGTCAGAATACATTGTTTTTCAACATCCTTGGAAGTAGTAGAAAATGCTTCAGCTAATAGACTGGAATTTTGTGAAACTACTGTGTTACCAGTGTAAAATAAAAAAAAAGGGGGGGGGGGGCAAAGTTGAATTAGGATTTGCTGTTTAAATCAGTTTTGAAAAATTTGCAAGAGTAGACTTTGAATGTGAGACTAATATTTGGTATAGATCTTTCTTTGAAGACAGTTTGTAGATGCTGTGCTTGGATACACTGCTTATTGTTGTGTCCCCCTACATTTTAGGGCTAGATTGTAGGACTAGTTGAGGTAAGAGACATCTATAACTGATTGAATTATGCATGTGTACTTGGCTAGTCAGGATACTTCAAGGCCTTTGAATTCATCAGTAAAGAAGGGAGTAAATGATAGCATCTGCCTGCTGAAGAGGGTAAGAAAAGCAGCTTTTGAATAGCTTATAGCCAGTGAACAATAGCATTCACTGAGTTCCAACCTTAGTCTTAGAATTTAGACATATCCTTCAGTATGTTTTAAGATTTCACCTTTAAGGGGAACATATAACTTGTATTTTATTACAGTCGCAATACATTTCCAAATATTAGTCTTAAATCTGTGCAGTACTTCAAAATAAAATCAGAAATTGTTCTGTTTTTAAAAAAGTTCTGCTATGTTTCTGGCATTCTGTAAAAAAAAAGTATTTTACTAGTCTGTTGTGATCATAAAACATTTCTGTTCTAAAGATTTTTAACTTTTCAAAGACTGAACAGAATTTAAGAGTAATGAAAATTCAGAATTGTTTCTTTCATAACCAGCTAGGAAATGCTCCAATTCAGTTTTTTAGAATTATCAACACTGTTCTTGGCTATAATTCAAGTTGCTAAGACAAGGGGTGCATTCCTTTGGGTATAGGCAGATAAATTATTTTGACAGCAGCGTGCTGTTTCTCGAGAGATGCATAGGTCCCATTATTTGTAACATGAGAATTATTCATGTTGGTGTAGCATTGATAATTCTTCATTTGAGAAGGAAAATTGTGGCAGTACTTTAAGGGGGGGGTGGAATGAAGGTGGTTCATAGGTGGTGATATAGAAGCCAAGTGTAGATTGCTATATACAATGAACTTCCAATTTTCAGCACTGTTAAAAAACTACAAGACAGCACCTTAGTACACTTGTGATCCATGTATATAGAATATTTATCAGCTAATGCAGAAAACCAGCTTATTCAAGTAATAGCTTAAATATATGCAAGTGTTGCATTAGTGCACGTAAGTAGTACTAAAAGCAATAGGAAGACAATACTGTTATTTAAGCCATAGTTCTACTTGTGCAGTAAACTTTTGAGGTTGGTCAGACTGTGTGTTGTTATTGAAGAATAACAGTGCTTGTTTAATTTTGTTTCTGTGTTTTTATCACAAAATTTGGGAAAAAAATAAAAATGCAAAGATTGTGTTAGGAAAGCCAGGGCTCACCTAGAGTCAAGACTTACGTGGGATGTCATGGGCAATAAGAAGAGCTTCTGCTGCTACATTGGTAGTAAAAGGCTGGACAAAGCTGAGTGAGTGGGGAAGGTGATATAGTAACAGCAGATAAGGCTGAGATAATCTATGTTCTTCCCCTTGGTCTTCACAGTGAGATCTCTTTGGTTGGTGTGTGTAGAGTAAGAAGAGCTACCAGGAGCAAATGAGGATTGGAGTCAGGGATTACTTGAGATAATTCTACCCATGGGACCACATGGGCTGCTTTTCCAAGGGTGCTGAGAGTCCTTGAAAGGCCACTCTCTACCATTGAGTAGGTCACAGAGATAGCTTACAGGAGGTACTTGATGACTGGAGAAGTGCTGCAGCCATCTTTAGAAAACAGTAAAAAGAACTAACAGGGAAATTACTTTTTTTTTTTTTTTTTGCATGTGGTGTGGAATGTAGTTATGGTAATCAGAGCGAGGCAAGATACCAAGAGTCAGGCTTTAGTAATGTTCATCACATATTTTATGAATGTAAAGTCAGATTTGACAGATGCAAATGGAATATAATAAAAATGTGCATATTTTATTTACCTCTAATAGAGCAACTGCATCAATTTTGTGTTCACTCTTGTTAAGGTCTTGGATCCAGAACAAAATCACGGTTTCACTGATCACTACTTAAATGTAGCCTTTGATCTGTCCCAAGTCCTTTTTATAGCTACAGCCAACACTACAGCTACTATCCCACCTGCTCTGCTGGACAGAATGGAAATTATTCAAGTTCCAGGTAACAAGTGTTTTCATTAAAGTGGCTATTGCAAGTCCTTAAACAACATTGGGGTGTTCTTCCTGAAACGAAAAGCAGTTCCTTAAGGTAAGCATGCCAGGAATCTAGACTGAATGGCCAGAATCATTAAAAGAGACTAGTCAGGATGTCTTCATTATGGCCTCTGTCATGAGAATGAAATTTAGCATTGCATTTAGGAAAATTCAGTTCCAGGTATATGGAGATACGTTCTGTAACAATATTTTCACTAGCTGTTGTGTTTGTATTCTAACTGGCTGTTGGCTGATGCATCTTTTGAAGATTCCAGTGAATAAAGGGATCTTTGAAATGCTAAAATTCTATTCTTCTTGCTCACATGAAGTTACGAATAACCACAAAGTATCATACCAACAGCCTTTTAAATTATAGCTGAGGTTTTTTTGTTAAATTCAATCAGGTACAATTATAAATTGTAAGAAATTTTATTATATTGTAGTGTATAAGCAAAAAATTAGTAAACATGTTTTTTCTTTTGAAGGATACACACAAGAAGAAAAAATTGAAATTGCACATAGACACTTGATTCCTAAACAGCTTGAACAACATGGCCTGACTCCACAGCAAATACAGATTCCACAAGTAACCACTTTGGACATAATTACCAGGTAAATCTGTTATTCATTGTTTTAAGTTTAAATAACTTCTTTTTCTGGTAACTAGTAAATCGTTTACAAAGTGGTAACACAAAACATTTTTTAAGATCTGTTGTCATTACTAGCTTCAGAAGTCCAACAATTGGTAATTCATGGAATTGCTCTTTCCTGAGCTCTGTCTGGCTCTGCTGTCTAAACGAAATCATCCTTCCTTCTCTAGAGAATTCCTTGCTCTGGCTTTCAGAGTGTGGCTCACCATTGATTGTGTTGACACAATTGGCAAGGCACTATGAATAAACAGAAACACTTGAAGCTAGTATTGCTGTAGTGTTCAGTGTGGGAAGCCATGGTCTTGGCAGCAGACAACCTTTCTTTTAAAGAATGAAGTTCTGTTTCTGTCATTTTCACAGAAAAAATGGAAATTACCATTTTGTTTCTTGTGACTTGAGGGGCCACATTTGTCTAAAAATTGGAATTAGGTTGAAAAAATTAAATAGCTTATATTAATTAGAACTACTTTTTTGTTGGGTGTGAGAGCAAAGATATTGATCAGAACATCTTTTGGACTTGAAACTAGTTCATTTCCAATGCAAAAAGTGTATCAGTATTCAATGAATTGAAGTATTTTATTGTCTGGTGTTTCTTTTTAATTCATAGACTATAAGAAAATACTCTTTTACAGTCAGTTCCTCAACTTTAAGTGAACTATATTTTGAGTTCTAAAATAGTTCTTTTAATTTTTATGCATCTAAGAAGAGCTCAGTGCTATTGGAGCATTGTTTAGCATTTCACTAAGGTTTGACACCAGGTGTTAGTCATGTCTTCTTCCCACTCAGTAGTTTGTCTTTTTTTACAGTTTTACCAGCAAACCACAATCATTTTGATAAAAGCACATGACTTTTTTTTCCTGTTTATTAGAGTAGCCCAAGGTCTCACTGCATTTCACATCTCATTTTATTTGGATGTATTTTTAAAAATAAAGTGTGTTTGCATTCAAAAGAAATCTGTCTTACACAGAACATCCACCAATAAAACAATTGTCTCTATACTAGATACACTAGAGAGGCAGGAGTCCGCTCTCTGGATCGGAAGCTGGGAGCTATTTGCAGAGCAGTGGCAGTGAAAGTGGCAGAAGGACAGCACAAAGAAACAAAGCCAGATCGTGCTGAAGTGGATGAAGAAGGTGTGTTATCTTTTGCGTGTTTTATTAAAAGGGAAACTTCTAACGTAGTCACTAGGAAGCTGATTTATCAACCTTTTCTCCTTTTTTATGCTTCTTTAAGGGCTCTGTTTTTAAAAGCTTTGCAAATAGAGTGACATTCTTAATTATGCATGATTCAAGTCATGCTGAATTGTGGCTGGGGACGTAAGTAGAGTAGTTTCAGCCTGACAAGTTGGTAATTCAGAAGTACAATGGATCTGTTTCATATCTTAGGGATGCAGTTATGATTTGTGTATGTTTTTATGTCTTCCTAGGCTTTTTTAATGCAAAGATTAAACTTTTTTTTTTCTTCAGTAAAAGACTAAGCATGGTTTTAGTTATTGTATTTAAAGGGGTTCTTTAACTGTGCTGTGCATGCTCTGCCAGTTCAGAACTCAATCCGGTTATTTTGTTGTACTCTAAAATAAATGTCTGCTTGAAGAGCTTTGAAATTAGAAAGGTTTAGGGGCTCTTTTTATGTGCCTGTTAAGACTGCACTTATTCTAAGTCTCTTGAAGCTTTGGTAACTTGTCAACTTCAGTAAGTCTGTTCTTGTTTCCCATATGTACAGACAATAGTGATTTATCATTCCCAGTCATCCAACAGACTGAATGAAACTAAACATAACATTCTCAAATAGCAAAAATACTCAGGTAAATCCTTCACCAGTAAAGGTAGACCTCTTTGTAGTCTTGAGATACAAGGCGGAGAAGGAAGAAGTCAGGCCCATAATCCAGTTCATGTGCAACATGCAACTGGTGACTGCTCCCTTTTTCATCCCCAAATTAATGTTCTCTTTAATAAAAATGAACATCCATACTGTGTTTGGTGAAACATACCATGCAAAGCATAGACAATTGTGCTTTTATTCCAGCCAGTTGCTGATGGAGGATATCACTGTACACAGCAGTTTTCTGTTGAAGGCTTCAGAGTGCTCATTGCAGCACTAGATGTCTGCAGGAGCCTGCAGTTCAAGGTAGATGAAAAACATGAAAGGACAGAATCTGAACCTGAAGTTGAACTTCTAAAATGTGCATAGTCCTTAGTCTCAATACAATCTAGCAAGTAGGGTGTTGTGTGTTTTGTTTGTTTGGTTTTTAAAGACTGCTGTGAGTCCAGCTGACATTTTCTGACAAGAAATACTGCCAGTCCGTCAGAGAACTGTGGCCAGAGGACACCAGAAAGCAGAAACTGCAGAATGGCTGCTTACTTTTGCTCCAGAATACTCACAAACTTAAAATACTAAACAGACCCCTGTGGGTTTGATGTGAAAGATTCCACAACTAAGCTGATGTGGAAAAAACCTTTAACATCTGTACAGCTAGAATAGTTCTGGACTGATTTAGAGGAGGACAAATAAAGAGACTTCTTATCTGTTCTTTTAAAACAAGGCAGCTTACAAGTCTGAGTGGTGCCCCCCCCCCTTTCAGAGAGTAAATCCTGGGGAAGGAAATATAACCAATATTTGTACTAACAGTGGTATCAATTAGAAGAGTATATGAAGAAGAGTTTTACCCATAGTAAAACCTTTTGTAATTTGTCTCTGGAAATCTGTTTTTTGACAGTCTTTCAGCTTTACCTTGCCTTTTTTCCCTAACTCAGTATTTCCCTTCTGAATCTTCTTTTACCTTGTTGAGTTTTCTAAGATCATCATGATGTCTGTTGAAACTGTAATATCAGAAGATTGAATTTGGTCTACTGTTTAAGTGTATTCAGCTCAATTTCCTCTGAATGTTTGGCTTAATGAGAGTGAACTCTCACAGTAGCAGTGGCTGTGCATGCATAAATGACTGTGCAGTTTAAATTGTCCCATCTACATTAAAAGGAAGAGCTTTTAAGACATATTTATTAATGCTTTCCATTTATATTATGTGCATATTGTCTCCCTTCTCTCCTCTGTGCTGGATTTTGCTGAAGTCAACACTGAGTTTGTCGATACTCCTGTGATACCTGAACTTGCTCTTGAACCAGAACACTGAACCTTTGGGCTGTGGTGGCCAGGGTTACTAGCATCTTTTACAGTATTTCTTTGCACTGAAGAGTAGATGTGTCCAAAATGCGCTTAAAAGGTCTAATGTGATTGCTGAATAAAAAAAAGTGTCATTCTGCTCTTCAAGCCTTGTGATAAAATAAACAAAAGTAGGTTCAGAGCACAACTCCTGATACTATAAGAAGAAACATTTTACTGTTAAAGCAAAGAACAAAAAGGAACTGTATTAGGTATCTCCATCCAGTGGAGAGAGGTATTTACAATGTTAAAATTAGCACTGTACTTGCAACTTAGGTATTTACACTGTTAAAATTATACACTGTTAAAATTAGTACTGGACTTGCAACTTACCAAAGCTAAGTGAAAACAGCAAGTTAAGTGCTTCAAAAGAGGGCAAAAGCTAGCTTTTTTGGTTGACACACAATTTGGAGTAAGCCCAGGACAAATGAGCTGTGAAGAGTTGCCTTTGTACTTCTGGAATTGAAACTGTCCATAAGAAAAAGCTGTATTAACAAAAGGGAGTCCGAGGGACAGGTGGCTCTGTAGTTAAACTTTGGTATTACAAAGACATGTATAGAATGGTGCAGTCTGCAAAATGTGTTTTACTTTGTACTAATCATGCTTATACCCTGCTGTATTTTTAGCAGAATATGTCACTTGTTGGGAGTGTATGAGAGTAGGACACTTTTAAAAAATATTTTTGTTTAGTTTTCCTTCAGTCTGTTGAAAACAACCAAGTATTTAAAAGAAAATTCAGAAAGACCCCAAATACTTGCAAGTTGGTGCAAATAATGGGATTTGTAGCCTAAATTTATTTCTTTGGAACTTTTTTTCCTGTTGATTAGTGGACATTTGTGCAGTTGTGCATAGTGGTAATGAATTTTTATTTCATATAATGAATGAGTCTGGAAGAATAGTTAATCAAGTTATTGTCTCTTAATAGTTTCATTTAGAATTATTTCTTGATTATTTTTTTTTTTCATCTGTATAAAGAGACCTATAAGTCATTTTTGCTTTACACATTTGTCAGTTACTGATGTGGGATTGAGACTACAGTTAGTGCGTTCATATGTCATGAGCTGTCAATGTCAGAGCAAGCTACAGGCTTGACTTGTAGATTCTAACTTGCTAAAGCATAATTTGTGTATGATTCGTAGCATATCAAAATAGTAATGTGGTGCCTATTGTGTTTACTCAGCTGAGAGCATTCTGGCTTGTGGGTTTGTAAAAAAAGTTGAAAGACATTAAGTGGTAGAACCACAAAATTTCCTTCATTATACTGATTAAATCAGATTATTAAATCAAAGTGGAGCATCTGTTTTAAAGGCTTTGTAAATATCAGGCTTTTGACACTGTTTGATAGGCTGTAAGAATGGAGGATACCTGCCATAGCAGAACTGGTGCTAGGAGATATGCTGTCAAGCCATATTTAGCACTTTCCAAAAATACATGACTGAAATACACTGGCAGATTTGTATTGCCTTCCTCAATCCTTTGACTTCTGAGCTTTAAGCTGAAGTTGGCACGTGGAGGAGTGTTAGTTTGCGTCAGTCATTGAATTTGTACAGTGAACTTCAGCAAAAGCAAATGGACTCATTTTTCAGACCTCTCCAGGGAGTCATCCTTGTGTACAGTAACACTATCTGATATTTTACTGAAACAGTATCTAAGATTTATGTGACACTCATCTAGTCTTTGACACTAGAAGAAATTCTAGGAGTCACGAAAATATGTGAAACTCTCCTTCCTATTTTAGTGCAACTGCCTTGAGAATACAATGCAGCAACTGTGCACTAAGGCATCATATCATGATACAACAGTTGAAACCCAGAGTGAAAAATGATCTGTCTGATTCAGACTTGAAAGGAGATTTAGGACAGGTAATATTTAATAACTAAAAGTGATTAAATGAGGGGTCTATCTATGTTGAAACCAAGGCTTTGAAATATTTCCATAACCCAGGAATACAATACAGTTTATTCTACTCCTTGTGAATGAAACAACACTTGGTTTTGAGTTTAAATGCAAGTTTGACTGAAGTGGTCAATGTGAACTGAAACATGTAGTCTTGATTCTTCCTCCCTCAACTTGGGCATAATGCATTTTATTCACAAAACATTATTATGCATGACTGTGGGGGATTTTGTTTGTTTTTTAGTGTGTATAAGGGCCTTAATATAGCTGGGCTAACATCACTGCTTTTGCAGAAAGTGACCTGTTCTGCATTCTAGCCAAAACTCGGCACCTCCAGCAGCACAGGATCTCCCATAGCACTGGGAAATGAGTTTATGAAGTCTGATCGTCGTAAATCCCACAATGGTATGACTGTAGGCACTCAAGTTTGAGCTCAGCTGTGCCAGCATTAGTATACTTACCAGCTCTGCAGACTGTAATATGTGGTTCTTTCTAAAAATTGCTTGGAATGTCTTCTGGTTTAGGCCAAAAAGGCATAAATGTTATGAAAAGTTGGGTTTATATACAAACTATTTTTTTACCATGTTAATTTATCTAAATATTCCTGCATGAAAACCTCAAATTCAAGTGGTTCAAGTCGTTATTCACGTTGTTATTCTAGATCAGGACTGATGGAATGTAATTATTTTGAGATAAATTTTCTGATCCTGTGGGGAAGAATGCACATAGCATTAAATTTAAGTATACAAGTAACTGTTAGTAGGATTGGGGTCCCAGGAGGGAGTTCCTTTCCAAAAGAAAATCTTTTAGAAGTAATGCTTCCCAAGTATGTAGTGCATAAGAGTTAAGTTGGACAATGGAAAATTGCTTTTAAGGCATAGTTTCATGTCATGCCTGGCTTTGAATGTGGACCATTGTCAACAAGGGCAATCCCATCCTTTCCTACCTAAAGGTAGTTTTGTGGAGTTTATTAGTTTGGAGGGACTAAAAGAATTCTGGGTCGGTCTGTCATGTGCTAAAGCATCTGCTAGTAAATCAGCTGAGAAAAAAGAACATGCTGTTTTCCCTTTAATTGCCC